GGAATGGAACAGGGAGGCTGCAGGCACAGAGCAAGCAGAACAAGGAACGGTAAAGAAATAAACTTTCTGGTTTGGGCTTTGTTGACAAATGTGAACTTTTTTCTTTTCAGGTCTCCAAAGAAGAAGGCTCTGCTTTAGCGCGAGAATTCAACTGCCCTTTTTTTGAAACGTCAGCTGCATACCGTTACTATATTGATGACGTATTCCATGCTCTGGTGCGGGAAATCCGCAGGAAAGAAAAAGAAGCGGTAATGGCAATGGAGAAAAAATCAAAACCCAAAAGCAGCATGTGGAAAAGACTGAAGTCACCGTTTAGAAGGAAGAAGGATTCAGTCACCTGAACAGCGAGAATTCCTCTGCAAAATAAAACAAAACCCATGAACGGCCATTTGTAACCAAAGTGGTTTCGTGACAGCATTGTGACAGCGCCTTTGAAACCTGATGGGACTTTCCTGAGGGGATGCGTAACTTCTACCCGTTATTTTAGAACAATATTCCCTTCGTTTGGGGTATTTAACTTAAGACAGTAACAGTTGTACTTTTGTTTGTTGTCATTTTTTTACTGGATCCAGCAGATGTTGCTTGTCTGTCGTTGGTTACAAACGCTGATAGGTTTGTGTCCCTGCACGTTTGAATGTTTGTCTTCGGTCACCGCATACTGGAAGCTGAACTGTGTTAAAATGTTGCTGAAGCTCTACCGAACCTAACTTAATTCATATTTTTTTTTTTTCCTAGTTGTTTGCACAAGAGAATTTTGCTGCTCTCCAGAACAGTAACTCCCATCACGAGAGGCAGCTTGTTGAGGTCGTGCTGGAGTAGTTTACGAAGTGTCTGCCACGACTTAGCAGGCTCGGCTGCGTGTAGATGTCGTGGAACGGAGCTGTGCTAGAGTTCTTGTGTTCTCACTGAGTAGATTTTTCCCAGCAAATGTAACACAGAATACTTGTGGAAACTTCTGTAAATTATCAGTTCAGCAGCAGTGCTGTAGGTGGGATTCCAAACAAGTCAGAAAAAGCAAATTATGGTTCCTGTGGCAGCTCTACCCTAGCAGCAGTGCAGGAGTATGTAGCGTTTTCCCACTGTGTATAGCATTGACTGTGTTGCCAGAGCGTGTGTGATGGAATGATGCTGTAGAAACCACAGCCGTGAATTTTCCAACTTGCTTGTTAAAAATGGTAGCTGTAAGGGCGCGCTGGCTTATTTATTTACCTTCAGTTTTATGTTTTTGTCTTAGAGGAGCCAGTATCTTTGTTAAGTAGAAGTCTCTAACATAGTCATTTCAAATTATTCTGTGATAACTACTTTGGGGAGAAAATGGCTGATACTGAGAGATCTGGGCCCAGAATTAATATCCCTTATGCTGGTAAGATTCTTCCAATTCAGTCTTAAAAGAGGAGTTGCTGCTGCATTGGAAGGAAGCAGTGAGCTGGGCACTGGGGCAGTCCTGGCAGATCCTCCCGTCCCCAACCTTACACGTGCAGGCAGTGCGGGTGCGGGTTTTCTTGCGCTCAGTAATGAACGATGTGGTTAAGAACGTGCTGCTGAGGCAGACCCTCCACACAGAGAGACAGGCGCTGCTTCCGAGCCGATGTACATATACCTGGGTTACAGAACTTAAATCCCGCAGAGAGACCGGTGTCTGGTGTTCCTCTCGGGGCTGTTTTTTAATACTAGAACAAATCGCAGGTGACGCAGGCACAGTTAAAACAAGTTTCTCGGAGAACTAAGTGCCTGGAATCCTTCAGGTTGAGGTTGAAACAGCTTGGTAGACTTAAGAGTAGGAGAGCTACTGCTGTTCTTCCATCATCTGTGTCAGTAACTGTTAATCTTACTGATCAAAAATAAGACCTGTAGTGTCAGTCTTGGTGTGCTGCCTGTGACAGTGCAGTCAGAACTGAAAATCGGGATGTGAAAGGATTAGTGTGACAAGTGAGGATAGCAAATATATCAAATTAAGCTTTTTTTTCTTGCTAAACTCCTCATTGCTTAAGATACACCTGGAAATCCTGTGCCTGTTGTTTTTAAGACTATTTTCTTTGTGTAAGATTTAAAAAAAAAAAACTTAAAACAAGAAATTTGCAGGGGGGTACATTTTTTTTTTTTATTTTGTTTGTGGCTGAACTAAACATTTAAATTGGTTTCTGTTTCTCACTTCCTTCCAGTGCTCCAGTGTCCTGCTGCGCTGGTAATAATCCCATGTATGTGGTTTGAAAAAGAGGCTGCGAATAATTCAGACTGTTTAGAATTTAAGACTTCTTTTACGTTAACTGCGTGAGCAGTCGTGCGCATCTCTTCAGTGGTTACTGGTTTAGGACTGAGAGCCCTACTGATCATTCGTGGTTGGATTAAATGCTGTCTGTAACACAGATAAAAATCCTAGGAAAGCCCATCTAGCAGAAAACTCGAGGAGGAGGGGGCAACGGTTAAGAAGTTGCTCCAAAAGCAGTCGCTGATTCTGTCAACGTAAAAATTCTTTCAGACCAGCAGCCTTCTGGAAGTGCTGAGCGGGGGCCTGACGGCGATCGCACATTTTCCCTGTGCTTTTCCTTGATACAGTAAGTGAACATACAGTATTAGTTGGCTTCCTATGCTCCAAGTTTTTGGAATATATGTAAAGGTAACCTGTCAGCAGTACTGAAAGCTGTACGGGGCTGTTTTCACCTTTAAATAACCCACGTCTGTGCCTTACGGGATTCCTTCAATGCAATTTAAGTGTTTACTAATGCCTTTTGTGAGCCTGTTGCTTATAGAATTACTACACCAGAACAGCAGCAAGCACTTTTTTTTTTTACACAGTGTTATTCAAAAAGAGTTTTATTTTTTTCATGTATAAATTTGTACACAGAATTACTGTTTTATTTGACACAATATATAATTTTTAATACAAACGCTTGCATTTCCTGTTTTAATCCGTGGTATCCAGCGTGATGGGTGGAAGGCCGTTCACCCTGAGAGTGCTGAACAAGGAAAGCTCATGGGGTGTTTGGAAATTATTCTGGAAAATGCTTCTCTTGCTCAGGAAAAAAAAAAAAAAGGAGTTGGTGTGTTGCGTTCAAGTGGGTCAAAACAAAAATTCTGTGATGCCAGTCTGGTGCTAAATGATTTAAATACGATGGGGGCGTTTTGCAGCTGCGTTATTTCCCTTGGTACGCTCTGCGTGAGGCGCGCTGGCTTTCCCAGCTTCAGCTGCGAGTGGGGCAATGGCAGCCGCCCAAGGTTGAGCGTCTTAGTGTTTGCCTGGCTACGGGAGTGCTGTGGCAGAGGCCAAAGTCACCGCTCTGCGCTTGCCTCGGTTCCTCTGCGCATTGGTTGTTTCCCTTTTATTGTTTCATACCAGTGGCAAGCTCCCGGGTTCAGGCTCCTTTGGGGCTTTGGTGTGGTTGTTGGGTTCTTCCTTCCTTAAGGTATTTCTACTGTAGCCAAATTTCAGTGTAACTCACGTTGATGACAAACAAAAGGCTGCTGGGGTCACTCGTGCTGGGTTAGAAAGGATCTCACCTAGGGGTAGAGGCACGGAATGTTTTAGCTTCTCCTACACACACCGTGGTTGTCTCCTGGCTCGCTGGGCGTTTGGAGGCAACCTCCCCGGCTACCGTCTCATAACCCTGTCTGGTAGGAATCGTCCTGTTGTTCGTGGCGGTAGCTCAGGTGGGCGTTTTTCTGCTCTGGAGAGACGTGCTTCAATAGTATAGTTGTGGCAATAAGGTCCCCAGTCGGGTTTATATCTGTTTCGCTGTCTAAAAAAGATGAGTTGGCCGGCAAACCTTCCCCTGGTCAATAGCCCGGTACGTGTTACCTGCTTCTGCCTCTGGGAGAAAGCCTCTTGGACTGTAATTGTGGACTAAATGTAAGATTCCCAGGTATTTTTGTTCAACACGATGTCCAGTTGACAGCCATGTATCACCTAAGTGGCACGCAGAAGTTGGCGTGGTTCTTCTGTCACTGTCCTTCACGTAACAGAAGGAACAGCTTTGTCCGTCACCACCTACCTGGTGATTAGGAGTGAGTTTAGAAACCTCTTAGCCATGAAACTGAAAAACTAGAAATAAATGGAAACTCGGTGGATGATTTTAGCACCATCAAGTGACTTCAGGATGTTTTCTAAGTGGCAGCAAGTAATAGAACGGTGATGGCGTTGGTAGGGTTCCTGCCTTCCTGTGCGCGTTCCCACCCTGCGTGCAGTTTCATCCAGTCACTGGATAGTTCAGCTCCTTTCTAAGCCTACCAGGGAACACTCCAGGTCTGTCCAGCTTTTAATATCTTGGAAGCCGTGACACGTCACGGCTAGCTCTGTTTTGCAGACTACTTAAGAATATATTGAACGCCATCGACTGCGTCGCGTGTTCTCTCGGCGCTCCCCAGTAACCTGCTTGCTGTGAATGGTGTCGCTGCGCTCCTGCTCCTTTGGGTTTTTATCCTGCAGAGCTGCCGACATCCCTCCTTACGCCAAGGTAGCTTTGCTTCAGAGTCACAGGTAAGGTACGAAACACCCAAATGCAGTTCACCAGCTATTTCACCACCTACCTACTAAATCCTTCGATACATCCTGCCTCAAGATCTGAAACGCGCTTACCTTTCCCTAACGCTGTGTGGTCACCCATCGTGCTGTTATTCCTGTTAATTACTACGGATTGGGCTGGTTTATCCAAAGTCGGCACCTCAGAGGGTATTCAGCGTAGGTAGGGAGCAGTTCTTCAGTCATTTTGCTGTGTCTCCTGTTGTGTTCTCCAGAAACACAGGAAGTGAATGCACCTAAGTCCATGGGCCCTGATGAGATGCATCCCAGAGTCCTGAGGGAATTGGCCGATGTAGTTGCCAAGCCCCTCTCCATGATATTTGAAAAGTCATGGCAGTCAGGTGAAGTCCCTGGTGATTGGAAAAAGGGAAACATTGTGCCCATTTTCAAAAAGGGTAGAAAGGAAGACCCTGGGAACTACCGACCTGTCAGCCTCATCTCTGTGCCTGGGAAGATCATGGAACAGATCCTCCTAGAAGCTGTGCTAAGGCACATGGAGGCCAGGGAGGTAATTCAAGATAGCCAGCATGGCTTCACCAAGGGCAAGTCCTGCCTGACGAACCTAGTGACTTTCTATGATGGTGTGACAGCATCAGTGGACAAGGGAAAACCAACAGACGTCATCTATCTGGACTTCTGCAAAGCCTTTGACACGGTCCCCCACAACATCCTTCTCTCTAAATTGGAGAGCTATGGATTTGATGGGTGGACTGTTCGGTGGATAAGAAATTGGTTGGATGGTCGCATCCAGAGGGTAGTGGTCAATGGCTTGATGTCCGGATGGAGACCAGTGACGAGTGGTGTCCCTCAGGG